CAGTTCACGTTGAAATCCAATGCTCTCTGTACTATAATTCTCAGGGGCAAGTTAGATCCTTTCCCCCCTGTAGCCAGGGGGGCCCATTGAAGTTTCTCGAGCAAGTATTTATTATCAGTTTAATGCTCAGTGCCACCCAGCATAGAGGAGAAATAGAAATAGGGTGTAAGTCGTTAAGGAGCTTCAGTCCAATTGGGAAGAAAACCCAAGATGGATGGGGTGCTTGGAGGTTAATATAAATAGATGCGTATTTAAGTGCCAGGTCCTATAGTGTTAGCTTTAGATGTAGGTTAGTTTTAACCTTGCTGGGGCTCAGTTTCTGCATCTGTGAAATAGGCATGATAATGGTACTTTTCTCATGAACTGGTGGTGAGTAGAACAGCGCCTGGCACATAGTTAACCAATAAATTAACAGTAAGGATGGTAGTCATCAGCTAGGACTGGGGCGATCAGAGAGCCCTTAACAGGTGACGGGAAAAGGGATGAGCAGACAGGGTGATATGACCAAAGCAGTTTGCAGGAAGAAGGGGCTGGAAAGGTCAAAGAGTGACATTTTTGGCAAAAAATGAGGTTTGTGTGATTAGGTGAAGAAAATATGGGCATGAATGTATCTGACGACTCCAGCCCCGAGGGTGGGGACACAGTCTCCTCCACCAACTCCTCACCACAGGGCCCCCTCAAGCTGCAGCTTTCGCACCACCCTGTGTGTACCTGGGGAGAGTAAAAGCCACAGGATTCACTCAGCAGCGCCTCTTCTAAGATCATTGGGTCACTCTCTAGTGACCAAAATTAAGATTTTACATGTGTCATTGATTAGAATGCATAATCAGCCAGTGTTTGTTTGTATTTTTCTTAAAGTAAAATTCAGCTTAGGGGAAATCTGCTTGGAGATAGGCCCCAGACTGCAAGGGTTTGGTGCTTTGTATTTTGTTGTTAAGGGTATTTTAATAGAAAACTTTGAGGATCACTCTCTCAGCGGGCATCTCTGCTCTGACCCATAGTGCCCAGCCTCTTCTGGTGTCTGCACTCCAATAACCTCACGAGCTAAGAGATGACACAGCCTTTTCTATAACTTAGGACATTTCCCCCCAGTGCCCTAGATGTGCTGGGTGCATTGGAAACAGCTAAACCATTTGCTACCAGTACTGGGGCTTAATCAGAGCAGGTGAATTACAGGCCAGATGCACCGAGATGTGTAAACCCCCGAGGAGAGACACCTCATGGGCCAAAACCTGTGTTTGTTAAATCATAACAGAGTGAGTTTCCCATTCTGCCTCCACCGTGGGCCACCCCAAGAGACAAACTCTGTATCTGCCTGGTCCCTAACTTTGTGCCATGGACAGAGACAAATCTTTCACTTTGAGGATTTGAGAATCTAGCAGGTGGAGAGATTGGGGTCTTTGCCTTGTCCTCTGAAGGCAAATACTGCCTTTTAGTGACCCTTGGGGCTGTGGGTATCTGTGGGCCATGCAGCTGGATGGGGACCCTTGGGGTCTGAAATTGCATGCAGGGGGTTTATACCAGTTCTTCTCAAGCTTTGTTGCAGGTTAGAATCACTTGGGAGATTTTCAAACACCCCTGTGTGCAGGGTGCGCCCAGATGGGTGAAATCTCCAGGACGGAGCTCAGGCGCTGTTTCTGGAGATCCCTCAGATGATTGCTTGTGCAGCCACGTTTAAGAATCACCTCTCTAGATTTTGTACCATCGCTTGGATGGGAAAGCACTGGTGGGCCCTTGTGGCTGGAGCTGGCTGGCTGATTGGCTGGCCTATTTTAGGAGGTGATTCATTCAGTCCGCGGGTCAGACCTTGTCTGCCAGATCTGGTGTGGGCAGCAGCCAGCGAGCCCCGGGGGCTGAAATCTCAGGGTGTGAGATTTCATGGGTTGGCCACACAGGGCTCCTGGCCCTCCCAGGCGAGGTGGTGCGTCAGGCCTGGATGGGCTGGGTGCCCACGGCCACTTGCGTCACTCCCCCAGGTTGTGGTGGGAATGGGGTAGAGGAGATGGGCTATCTGCTGAAGGAAAGGGAACAGGAAGAAGCCGTAAGAAGAAGGCGTGGGTTGAGGCAGCCCTGACTCTGGCTGTATTCAAAACCAGGCCTGGAACCCTGGCCTGTGAAAGCCAGGACACCGATGCCTTTTCTTACAGAGAAATGGCTGCAGTTCAGTGGGAAAGTATATCTTCCAGAGCTTCTAGAGTTTGCTTTCTATCACTTAACTCGTTCATATAGATGAGCATGAGAAAGCTCTCTGTGTGCTTCAGAGACAGACTGGAGTGCGTGACAGTAACGGGACACTGGTTCTTTGACCGGAAACTCCCAGAGGGCCGACGGGTCAGGCCGGGTCCCACAGAGACCATCCCAGGGAAGAGATGAGAAGCTCCGGTTTGCAAGTCCCTGGATTAATGAATTGACGGCCAATGAAGACAGTCAGTGAGGCTCAAGCAAACAGGAGGTGTCCTGGGGAGTGCTTCCCCCTGGGTGGTCTGTGGAATCAAGATCCGGTTCCAGAGACCTGAGTGGCCACGTAGGAAAAGGGTGGGCCCTACATCTTAGGGGCTGCACCTCAACCCTGAGGTTAGAAGTTCCTTCTTGCCATCTTCTCAGGAGATGTGGTGCTCCCGGGCCTAGGCCTCTGGGCCTGACCCACTGGTCCAGGACACCCTGGGTAAACATTTCACAGGTCACGTAACTTACAGGCCTTGGGTTAGCAGCTGCACATCCCAGCTCTCTGGCCTGGAACCTCAGTGATCATTGTGCGAGTGATGGGCCAGCCCCTTCAGCAGAAGAGGCCATCCTAGGAGGCCACGTGATGAACTGAGAACATGGGCTCCAGACTTTGGGCTTGGTTCTAGGCCCTACTCAGCCACTTGCTAGCAGTGGGACCTAAGAAACTCAGGCACGTTTCTTAACCTCTCTGAGCCTCAGTTTTGTAATCTGTAAATTAGGAGTAAGGTGTGTAGTGTGTAAGACAAGGCATGTGAAAGCCCGTAGCACAGCACTGTTATCAGGACGCCTGAAGAAGTAAAGAGGGGAGGACAGGCCGAGGGAAGACGCTGTCACAGAAAAGGGCTGTCGATTCCCCTCCATGCTGAGGCTAGGAGGCCACGCCAGTGCTCCTGGGCAGCCGCAGAGCTTGACATTTTCTCAGCTCTGGGATTGGAAAGCGAGAGGAGGAAGTGATGGCATGCTGCTGAGTGTGATGTCTCCCACGGGCCACATCACATCACATGCTGAAGGGAGGAAGGCCAAGTCCGGCTCTGCTGTGGGTGCCCATTGTGTTCACCTGGGTGGTGATGTGATGTGGGTGGCTAAGAAATTCCCCAGCCCAACCAGACACCCACTGGATGGTGCTGGATGGTGTTCGAAGGCAGCCCAGAGAACATCGTCACCTGTCCCTCTGGACTTCAGTTTCCTCTTTTGCCAAAAGAGAATCCTGACCCTCCCCGAATTGGGTAGGTTTCTAAGATCAGGCAAATTCTGGATGGTTTTTGACCAACCAACCTATTTATTTATTTATGTATTCCCCCAAATTATGGCTTCTGCACTCCCAGCCACCCTCAGACCACATGGGACAAAACTGGGAAGGTGATTGACAATGACCTTGAGAGAAATTCAGGGGATTGACCAAGGGACAGAGTGGCTCAGACCCCAGGATTCACCCCTGGACCCCCACAGTGTGAAGAACACTGACCTCCATCTGTCAGCGCCGTCCTTTACCTTCCTGGGGAGCGGGGGGAGTGATGAGAAGACTAAAAATCAGGATGTCATAGGAAGAGTGCAACAGAGCAGACCTGGAATTTGCTTTCAGTTCTGCACACACTGACTGTAGGGCATTCGGCAAGTTACTAAACTCAGTCTTAGTTGTCCACCTGTAAAATGGGATAATAAACGAGCTCGCAGAGTTTGGGTTGATGAAGATTAAGTGAGGTAATGTGTGCCAAGTGCATGCACAGAGCGGGCGCTAAGTAAATGCTGGCTGTCCCTTCGCCCCAGTAGAGGAGGTTTATCCCCAGCTATCTCGGAGGGCTGCAGCCCCCTGCCCCCACCACTTCACTCATTCATTTGACAAACACACATTTACTTCTTATGCCATGGGGCCTGAACGGATGTCCCTGTGCCCTTGGACCTCTGGGTCTGGGAGAATTGCTGTCATTCCCATCAGCACATGCTGGTATCTGGTGCACATTCCTGTCTCTCCACCTCTGTTGTTACTTCCCTGAGGACATGGATGATGGCTTGCATTTCTTTGCATCCCCCATAGCATCTAAGAGCATCTTCTCCATAGCAACCCTTCATCTGCAAATGCAGCTCTGCTGATTTGCCCAGTTCCAGTGCCTGTGGGCTGGGCACTTTCACACCGTTCTCACAACAAGCCTGAGGGAGGGGGTTATTGCTCCCATTTCACAGATGAGGAGACTGAGGCTGAGAGAGATTGAAGTTACTTCCCCAGGGGTGGCCAGCGAGGCAGGGGCACAGCTGGGATTTGACCTCTGTTCTCATCCTGAATCCATGCAATTATTATTTTTTTTAATAATATAAAAAGATTCACTGGCTTGGCTTTAATTAGTTTTAACATTTAAGCTTTTAAAAGTGGAATTAATCAGAGGGCAAGGTGTAAAATTTTTCAACACTTGTCTCGTAAACTCATATTTTAGATTTCTTCTTTGGAGTAAAACGGACTCCTTACTGCTTACAAAGTTATTTCTGAGTTGCAGAAACTCTCTCCATGTGTTTTCCCTGTTTCCCCCATTCAGTCTTGGCTGCCACAGACAGACAGACAGCGCAAAGACTCTTTTTTCTTGCATCTGCAGTGGAAACCTTAGCAGCAGACAGCAACAGCTCCAGGTCTGGCAAATAGATGCACCCTGCCATTCATTGTCACTGCTGCTCACTCCAGGTCCGGGTCCGAGGCCTTTGGGAGGGCCTGGCCGGTCCCCTTCGAATCCTGAGAACCATTGTACGCCCACCCTCACCCTCACCCTCCCTTCTGTCTGTTCCAGAATGTCTGTAAACCTGCAGAGGAGACTCCGCACCCGCCCACGCTGCAGGAGATCAAGCAGAAGATCGCCAGCTACAACAGCCGCGAGAAGAACTGCCTGGGCATGAAGCTGGTGAGGGCCGGCCCACCGTCCCCCCA